AAATTACTCATGTAATCATTATGCATACAAATGAGTGGTAATTTTATTTCCTGTGATTGCATACACATGTTGGTTCATTACTGAATAGCCCATTCCTGTGAAGGAAATAATTGAGAGAAAGCTATTTAACTCACTTTCAGAACTTTGGATTTGAAAGAAGCCCATTAAAATTGTTTGAGTTATGCTATGAATTTAAAGTAATATTCTTCAGATTCAGTATATAGCCAAGGAAGATGATAAACAGTATTGCACTGCAGTATCCAGGAACTAAAAAAAGAAGGATTTTGTTAATGTAAATGGAGTTTGCAGTTAAGTGATGTACAGGTGTATAAAGTGAATCTTTCACAGTGACTGAAATTGATTAAAGATTCTCAGGTTACAAGCCATGCCATGTGGCTGAACAGTGAATAAACCACATCTTCTGCCAATGTTTCGAGAACAATCTCTGCTCTCATCCTCAGGGCTGCCGAGTAACAAATCAGATCCTTTGTTGCACACTTGCTGATGGGTAACTAGTGGTGGATGGCAGGTAGTATAATGTTGCTGCCGTCCACCATCAGTTTACCATCAGCAAGTGTGCAACAAAGGATCTGATTTGTTACTCGGCAGCCCTGAGGATGAGAGCAGAGATTGTTCTTGAAACATTGGCAGAAGATATGGTTTATTCACCGATGTACAGGTATTCATATTACAATTTATATAAGTTAATGGAAGGAACTTGAATGTTTATACAACATTATGTGGTGTGACAAGTTTTGTAGGTGGTAAATTCTCATTCCTTGTTCCATTCTTATTAATTGGACATACATGTATAACCTACATTTATAACAGAGCATTGAAATTATGCTTACATCTTACATTCTTATGGTTAAATATTGATAAATCAATCCCATAAGAATACAAAAAATTTAAGGTACGAAGTTATGATTTGTGAGGACCATTGTGGATAGAACTCTTCAGAGTGGTAAAAAATAGATTTTGTATTTTGAGAAGTTCTACAGTAGAGAAGTACAGGGCCATAGGAGAACTTTGTTATTTGGAAAAATACAGAAAAATATAAAGAGGGAAATGTTGTAAATTTTGTGTTTCCAATCATAAGTGTTGGAATTTTTTTACCTAGACAAGCCGTTATGGCACTAGGCTTTTTCTGTTATCAGTGATAAAAAGTTAATGTGATGTTGCAACATTGACATGACAGTGAAAGCAAGATATGTTTCTGGAGTAAAGAGAAGTGGCAGTGAAGGAAACAGGTTTCTACAGAAATCAAGTTCTTCTTTTGCTGTCATGTCAATGTGGTAACATTTGCATCATTTTTGCTATTAATAATGTAAAGTGTAGCGCTGTAACAGCTCATCCTATGTGAAAAATTCTGATGCTGAATATTGGAAACACACGATTTTGCAATAACTTTTGTATGTTATCAGACTTCCCTAGCTTCAACGGCCTTGACAGACTCAGGATAACTTCGGAGGACATGGACTCCTAATCGAAAGTTGTTCTGTCTGAGTCCCTCTATAAGCTCCTTCAGTTTGGCCCTAACCTTCTGAATCACTCTGCATATTGGAAAAAGCACACATGCTAACAGTGAAAGTCAAGGATAGTTATTTATACGACGAAGAAGTAATATTTTAACTTTTATATTTTCATATTCTCACAGCTGACAATTTACAGAATCAACTGAAATATCAATATATATGTCGTTATTAACATAGTTCAGGTATGCCAAAACGTTTAAATTTTCATGTTAATTTGTTCTTCTTGCAACTGTTGTACCTTCCAAGGAGTTTGTAAATGTCATAAAATAATCACATTTATCATGTGTGCACAGCAGAAGCATATTTGTTGTTAGGCTCTCTTTGGTGTAATTGGGAGATCAAATTTGTCTTCCATCTGCACGGTTCATTTCCAGAGTTACTGAACAGTTTTCACTTGAACTTGGTATTTGAGGTTTATACTATGGATTTACAAGGCAATTTTATTTTGATCCATATTAAGACCTACTTTAGTCAGTATAGTGACTGGCTATGAACTGGATGCCGGCACAGTGGCCATGCGGTCCGAGGCATGGTCCTCGTGTGCCTGGCCGCTGTGGCCGTGGGTTCGAGTCCCGCTCAAGGCATGAATGTTTGTCTGTGTCTCCTCTTCCAGTCTGGTGGGTAAATACTTGCCACAGAAGGCAAAGGAAAAACCACCGTGGTACTTTCACAAGAAAACCCCGAAAGGGGTCACGACGGTCAATCTTGACCATAGAGACTTAAAAAAAATGAACTGGATGACCAGGGTTCGATCCCCAACTGGGGCAGAGGATTTTTCCTCTAGCCTCTGCATCCAGACCAGTTCTAGGGTGAACCCAGCCTCTTATCCAATGGGTACCGAGGTCCTTTCCTGGGGGTAAAGAGCAGCCAGGCTGTGATGTTGACCACTCACCCCCATCTAGTTCTGAGGTCAAGAATGAGTAGGAGCTATACTTTCTCTCCCCCAAAGCACCTACATGGTGTATAGTGGGACAGCTTTACTTTTACTTTAATTTAATTAAAACCTACTTTGCATTAACCTCAAATTGAACTTCATTGAAACTGCTGACAAGCAATCGTGATACATGAAATATTAAGTTCTACAACTTTTTATAACATTTTAATATATATTTAATGAAAAACACATGACAAAACAATTTATGCCTTTCTGCAGTGTAATAGCTATACAGTTTATTTCCTTTGTCACAAAGAATTCATGCTTGCAATGTTTTTCATTTTACAATGAGGTATGAAAAGGACTGAATAAAGCAGAAATTCAAGTCCAACATTACTGGACTGGAGACAACACTGAATGTGTAAGATGCTAAGTGCTGTGTCTGTACCAACAGTGATTGGTGTCTCTTTAAAACTTACATAATCATCCTCAGGCTATGATATAAATCTGCCCAGTGTGTGCTTATTTTATGTAGTGTTCTTATTAATACAGCTTTTTTCAGACTTATTATAAAAAGTAAGCAAAAAGTTATGCAACTTGTAACTTTAACTCATGATTTGGGACTAATTATTCACAAAAGACCTTCTCCTTCATGGTAACACAGATTTATGCTTTTTATTATGTTTGCTGAGAGACAATAGAGTCTCTAGAGATATTGCTGACCCATTTCACTGTTTTCATATAGTTCTTCAGTGACTGTTTTCTATTCTTTTATTTTAACATAGTTCCCTACCCGACAGTAGGTCTGAAGAAGACAACTCTGGAGTTATTATAACCATAAATTCTTTGAAATGATGCATTCGCTGAAGAACTCTTTCATTGTTGCCACTGTACAGTTTGCTGTATGCACTGTTGCATCATCAAGACTGTAACCAATAATTATCATCAGTGGCATCTAGTAACGAGATGAACATTATCAGTTTGTGATGGTGTTCAGTACCTACAACATCTCAGAAAAAAGGAGACTGCCCAAATGTTGACCATGATCTTTATGTCTTCTAAGATTATTTCACAGAAATGATTTACACAACAGCATATTATTGATTTACTTGGAACTTGAAAGTTTACAAGAACACATCTTAATGAACTTGGGCAGTTTGCTTTAAATACCATGAAAGCTGTATCACAGTGGTTTAAGTCCCTTTACACACTCTTGATAATTGTGGTGTTATTATACAGTTTTGGGCATACAGGAAATACGAGGGCCTTGCCATAGTTCAGAGTACTATGAGTTCTTCAACCCCAGAAGTTAATTCCAGGTGGGAAGAGGCCAGAAAAGTCAAAACACCCTACTTTTCTGAAGGCATTAAGAAAATGGGAAAATGTTTACAAAGAATATATCATGTTTCTTGTCTTGAACCTTTAACTGCCATGCTAGATGGTCTTTTCCCTTCGTGATATTCAAGTATACAATATCTGCTCATCAATAATATATTTCTCTCAAGGAGTAAAGTAGGAAATGGAAAGTAATTCATATTTCAGTTTTAAAATGAATGTAGGCATAACAACTTGATAGCAGGGTCCTGATTTGGCATCAGTAATTCAAAATGAAGAGAGCCTTACCTTCTGAAAAGGGAACAATGATAAAATGTGGGTGAATTGGCTGAATTCTGATTATTTAAGGTTTCGAGAACTTTCTTCCACCATGTCCCTATATATTGCATCCATGTATAAAACAAATAAATTAAGACATGAAAATCTGAGCTCATTACAGTATGTAATGTAGACAATCTCTAGTACCAGTATATTTGTGCAGACTGTTAATCTAGTTTTATTCTAACTATAATGAACTATATTAAATGAGATTTGAGGTTCTCACAGCAGTGGGTATGAGGATGATTCTTTTCTGTGTTGCAGCACCGAGGTAGTCTGCCTCAATCACCAGGATGATGAGACTCATCATCCTGTTGATGGAGGCAACAAGTACGTCTGAAATGTCAGTTAACTTACACCAGACAACACAGCACTCAACCCAAAAGACAGCCATCTTTATGTTTAGTGATATTTCAGGTTCTCACAGCACTGAGTATGAAGATGACTGTCTTCTGGAATGCAGTGCCATGTAGTCTCGCAGATATTGACTGACATTCCATTGCCTTGATAAAATGGCAGTAAGCACTCTGAAATATGACAGTTTCTACAGAATTACATCACATAGCATCACAGAACATAATAATCTTTATCAATTATATTACTGGAAACTTCAGCTTGGACAACTCTATATGTACTAATTCATGTTAATGTGTATGAAATGTATAAGGTTCAAAGATGATTTCATTACTGTGTGTGTGTGTAATGTGTGATTTCTTAAGAACATGCTTAATTTCTCGATTGGAGACAGTGTACTATTTTATGTTCACAGTGACTAAATGAAATAGTAGCAATGTCCTTTGAAACCCTTTGTGTACTGTCTAGATCATAATTTTGGATATGAATGGACATTACATTTTTATTTTTGTTATGCCTTGTTTTAGCTGCAGAACATCAACATAGTGAAAATTATTAAACTGAATGAGTTTTCAACCATAAGAATGATGGAAACAGTACTTTAAGACTGAATTGAGTTTACAGACAATCTTAAATTAGTTTGCAATTTACTAATATAATTATCACGGAAACTGACATTTTATTTTATTATAAATGTAGTTCCATTGTTCCTGATCCAAACCAAGATTCTTGGTTTTGCATACCTCCGACTTCTAGTCATTTTGAGTGATAGGAAGAACTAAATGAGAACACCAAATATGATATGTAAAATTTTGTTTGAAATTTAGTGATTGTATAGTATATATGATTGTCATTTAATCTTTCATTGTAAGTTTTTTGTGCATTCCATTCCCAGTAACTGAGCATTTTATATATTCTTTGAGTGTTTTCAACTGTGTTTCATGTCAGAAGATTATATCACTGTTGGAATTCAATGCACCAATTATAAAAGGCTCTAAATAAATGTCATATATGAGTTTTGTGGCTCTCTCAGTACCTGTATGTTGGATGTTGGAAAATAAAACGACATGTAGCGGGATGAATGGAAATACAGGATATGGCTTAATGTCTTCATTTGCAGCAAACCGTTCCTCCAAATATTTTGCAATGTCTCACCAACAGATTGTTGATTCTGACAAACAGAAAAATGTACTGGCTATAGTACATGGTTTCATGGTAAGATAGCCAGCCTGCTTGATGTCATCAAACAAGTCTCAGATAAGACTAGTCCCTCAGATAATGTGTCCCTTGAATGGGAATATATACCATAAACTCCATATTATAAACGTATCTATGATCAATGTTCAGAGAAATGTAAACAAGTGCGTACTGCGCTTTCGCGCCACTTCGTTGGATGGGAAGGGGTTTGGATTTGTGAGGGTCATCCTTTTCTTAAGCGATTTTGATCGCCATTAAGTCGAAGGGGAGGGGAGGTTTGCTCCATTGTTGGTGTGGGATACTGAAATGGCGTTACAGGTTATCTATGCCACAGTTGCACTTGATTACCACGTGGTGCTTATGGTTTCCAAGAAATTCTCACATCTTGGTTTAGTCCGTGGTTGAACTTGACGATAATCTTTGGTGATCATTAGATAGTTTATTGTTTTTTTGTTGGCAATTGTATGAGCCTCTAGTGGCAATACACCGAAACTACCACTTCAGCCGAGTTGTTGCCCGTGGAAGATGCCTTCTGCAGCTACTGCGAAACTAGAAAAGCAGGCCTCTACGGAGGCTGTTGATTCTTTCCGACAGGCAATTATAATACTTGAACATAAAATAAGAAATTTGGAGAAGAGAAAGGTATGTATTAATTTACAGCTATATGTTTAAGTGCACGTACAAGTGGAATAAGACCCAACTGTCATTTTGGTGTAGTGATTTCCGCCATATTTTACTGTACCATGTGCTTGTAATAATTATGAACAAATAAATTTAGTAAAATTTATCACTTTCGCTCATGAAATTATAGGTAATATTGATATGTTGCTTCGGAATGTAGGTAACTTTTGGTTCCAGTATATGGAGTAACGTAAACGTTCGAAATAGCAGTGAAACTGGAAACATGGCCGTTGTGCTTTTCAGATTTATTTACGATTAAATGCTTTTTATTTAGAATCTAAGTACTTGCATATGAAGCGTCGTCATGGTCCGGAGTTTGCGCGAAAAATTTGCACGGTAAACGCTTCAGTTATATATAATACTTTATGCTTTCTTCAGACACCGCTTACTTGCTTTGTCTTACTGATCACATTAACCGTGGATGTGATTTTGAAACACGATCCGACAGTAGACTGTAGCGATTGTTAATAATGCGGCTAAGCATAAGTACACGCGAAAGCCATTTTTTACCATGTGCATTTTCTATTATTCTAGTTCATGTCGCAGTTTTATTTCTGTAGTAATTCGAGATCATTAAGTACAAACAAATTCATCAAAATATTCAGGAATGATTTGTGTGGCACAAGAGAATCATGTTGCTTTTTTTACTGGTAGTTATGTATATTTCCACATTTTACATCATTGTTGCTTCTCCCTCTTTGGGGAGGGGTCCCCTTCTAGAGTAGGAATCAGACCTTCAGGGATTGCCCCACCCAAAGTTCCATTTGAAATCTGAGGCATTTTTATTTTGTCTTAGTATATGAACACAGACACAGACAATTAATTAGTGTTCTGTAGAGCAAACAAAAATAGTCTCTTAACTCTTCACCAGTGACCTGCAGTCTGTGAGACTGCAGCAGAAGCAATGTTCTCTTTTTTGGAGAATATGGCTTGCAGTGTTTTCTTGTTCTCAATATGTTTTTGTATTTTGTTTATAAATCTGTTTGTATTTCCTTCCCTTCCTTAATCATTTGGTGCTATTTATATCAGGACATATTGTCTGCATTTGCATGTACCATGAGTAAGCATGCCTGAGCTTTGAAATGAGTTATACCATGATCCCAATCTTGGATAAGTGTTTGGGTACTTAAAAGAATGTTAAAGTGACATTGAGAGTGAAAGTAAATGCACATTTGAAAGTGACTGCAACATGGAATGTGCTGATGCAGAGTGACAACACCAAGACATTTATCCATTGCAGATTTTGATCTCAGACAATCATTTTGATCATTTCTTTAAGTATTATACCAGAACATATTGTGAGCTATCAAAATGTCACTTTGTTCGGATTGTTTAATGAAACACTAAAAAAGAATATTCTATTTCCTAAATTTGTGTTTCTCTTCATGCAAATCCTGCAGACATTTTTAAAAACATTGAGCAAATATACTAAATGGTTTCTTATGAAAGAGTTTTTGTGGTGTATACATGTGAAACTTGTAGTAGTAGATGCAAAAGGTTAGGTTGTCAGACCCCACATCACTGTTCATGCTACAGAAAATCCACATCACTAGTTAATGGATGAGGTTCTGTATTTACTGGAAACAGAGTAGTCTTCAGGATTCTGACACCATGTAGTCATGTAGGTGGTTATTTATTTATTTAAATTACTGCCCAGAATGTGGAGGCAGCATTTTACTCTGAAATGTTAATAATCACCTTCAAGAAGTCAATGTACAGTAGATTCCAGCAAATTTGGACATCAGTTAATCGGGGCAGCCGTTTATTTGGACAAATCTTAAAGAACAAATCTTTTAACTCTTTACATGCAACTCAAATCTTTTGGGGCAGCCGCTTAATTCGGCCAAAGTGTTCTAGTCCCGATGTGTCCCAGTTAACCATAATCCAGTGTACCTCCAAATGCTTTCAAACATTTCTTAAATCTTAATTAAACTATTTGCTCAGCTAAGTGACAGGAAGACTCCACAGTATCTTGTATCTGAAACATTATTCTGTTTTATTTTGCCATCATATATGTATTTATATCTGCTTGGCTAAAATTATTGAACATCAGTTATCTTGTAATTATAATAATGAACAAGGACTTTGGGTCTCTGAGAATAGGGTGCTGAGGAGAATATTTGTACCTAAGGAAGAGAAATTAGAGATTTGAGATAATTGCATTCTTAATTGATACTGTTCACTGGTGTTATGGTGATCAAATTGGGGAGAATGAGATTGACTGGACATGAAATAAACCCATGGAGCAGAGTACTTTTGAAGAAGCTGACAGTCATTCAGCTTGTCAAGAAAATGTCTCACCTTTTAGGATAAAATCAAAGAAGAATGAGATGAGCAGGTCTTGAGATGTGCATATAAGGGAAATAACCACATGGTGGACCTAGACATAATGAATGAATAGTATGAAAACATATCTTAAAAAAGTAAGATGTTATGATGAGGAATGAATTCACCTGGCTCAGGGTAGGGTCCATTGTCATATTCTTTTAATGACCATAATGAACCCTTAAGTCTCATAGAATGTTTGACCATATTTGTGATTGTTATTTTCCCAAGAATTGCTCTGCTTCATTGAGGTAATTAGTAGGTGAATAAGATGGTATGGTAGAAGAATATAAGCATACAAGTATTTCAGAAATTTCTTTTACTTCCCTTCCCCACGTTGGAAAGTGCTAAGTATGTATAGCATGGACTTGAGAGGTAATGATTTCAAAACAGGCAATTTTTGTCAATGGACCAAGAAATTTTCCAAGAGAGTTCACATAAATTGTGTGGAATCAGATGTTAGTTCAGCTCAGGTAATTTTGTGATGGCAAGTGTTTTGTTGTATTTGGTAGAGTATATGAGGTGCGATCGAAAGGTTTCAAGACTGCGCGTATAAAAACCCGTACACTTATCTCAGGTATTAAATTTATCCATCACCCTCGAAGTAGTTCCCCTGGGAGTGAACACAACGATCCCAGCGCCGCTGCCAAGCCTGGAAGCATCCCTGGAAATCTTTCTTTGTCAGCCTGTCAAGCACCATCTGCGATTCTGTCTGAATCTCTTCTATCGTCTCAAATCTCCTTCCCTTTAGCTGAATTTTCATCTTTGGGAAGAGGAAGAAGTCACACGGAGCTTAGGAAGGAAGTTGGGGTCGGTTCTTGCAAGATCTTTTAGCTCCTGACAAACGAGAAGTCGATTCTGCTTCTGGTCCTCAGACAGGAGCCTTGGTTTCGCATGTGGAGTTCTTCCTTTAGAATCAGCTGACAGGTCCCAACAATGTCGCACAAGTCGTTATGGTACGACGTCGATCTTCGTGAATGGCCTGCCGACTCTTCGTAACATTTTCGGGCGTTGTGCTCGAAGATGGTCGTCCAGAACGCTCGTCATCATCGACAGGGGTTCGGCCATTTTTAAAACGTGAATGCCACACAAAAGTTTGTGCACGACCCATTGCGGACTCCCCAAATGCTTGCTTTAGCATTTCATAGGTTTCCGTAGCCGTTTTTGCGAGTCTTTGGCAAAATTTTATGCACACGCCATTCCGAAATCGCAGGAGGGTCGGTGTAATGCACTACCAAAACGCCCGTAACTAAGAAACAAATGCTAATTCAATGGCATCATTGAATTAGCACACTGATTCACTATGAATGTAGGCCGCACCCCCTAGCGGCAGAAGCTCGTACTACATCCGGTTCGCCCTCTATTGACACAGTCTGGAAACTTTCCGATCACACCTCTTATATTAGCTTTGTGTTTTGAAGGAGGAAAATAATTCAATAATATGGAAAGCATACTCTTATATTTTAAAATGTTAACTTTGCACTGAGACTCTTATATGAACCACTAATTGTGCCATTTTCCAAAGCATTCATGTTGCCCCAGCAGTGTTGTATTCCCTCATATAATTACACATTAGAGTGGCAAGATATTGTTCCTGGTGCTGAAGTAAGCACCTTGTCATTAAGATGTACAGTTTGAAGCACTTGATGGAGGTAAATGGTCGTCTTTGTACACTAGATATTTTTTGCCAGGGGAAAGAGACCACAACAGTGCCCATTAAATAGAATGTTAATGGGCCCTAGGCAAGTTGATAAGAAAAATGTCTGCCTTTGCTGGCATTTGAATCCTAGTCATCCAGCTCAGCCTGATCACTATAGTGACTGAGCTATCCCAGCTCCTACTTAAGAGATGGTGGAATTATGTGTTTGCAAAACAGCTACATGGATATCATCTTACAGGATTAAGTGTTCTTCAATTTTACATTCAAATAAAAGTGTTCAGTTAGAAGTAACACTTGTTAGCCCTACACATTTGTTACCTATCTTTTGATCTCATTAAAATTCATCAAATTGATATCAGCTGACATGTTGAGTACAGTACAGTTTTTTTACTGAAGGGACAGGAGCCTTTTTCTGCACAATACATTGAATGATCATTGACAGTTTAGGTCGGAGTAGACTTTTCTTGTCTATTTTGTTTTCCTAGTTGTGGGGCTGAAAGTCTCTAGAAGATGAATCAAAAAAGATTTTGAGAACCTTCATATTATGTAGGGTGAGTTGTACATAAGCCAGTAGCATGTGAAACATTCTTTAAAGTGAGATAATGAATTAGAATCTTGACTTACTTGATACAGTTGCAGATAGTTTAGCCATGATCATCTTGAAATATACCATACAGATCATTTTACCATCTTTTCTAAAAGAATATTTTATGATTGTGTATAAATTCAAGTGAAATAAAAACTGCTAAAATATGTATTTGAGGTAAGATTGCTAAAAGCCAAGAAACTTTTTATCTCTACAACCAGTTAAGGCAACCACAACTTTGAGACATAGTGTGAACTGTAAAGTTTTGAATCTTTTGTCATCTGTGTGGGCTTCTAAGGTGTGATGCCATGCAGTCCAGTAGCTAGTTACCAGTGCTTTTGCAAAACATTTATGATTCATCCGTGAAGATTGAAATGATTCATTCCTCTAAAACACTGATAACCACCAAAAACTGTATACAGTGTTACAGCCCAGAAGACCACAGTCAATTTCTTCACTGCCATAACAGCCACAAATCTTAGATTTTATTATCAGCGCTCTGAAATTTGTTTGATCATAATATTTTTCAGGAAAATTGTCTTTACACTTTCCTGGTTTTTCTCCAAATTAGTACTGTTTCTGCAACATTACAGTATTGTTCATTACATTTTTATATAGTAAAACATAAATTTATGTTATTGCTTGTAAATTCAAGCAACAACTTTTATCACAACCTGCAAAATTTTGAAACAAGTTTAATGTAATTCTGCATTATTTGACATAAGGTATTTGAGTTCTATGATCTGTTCATGTAGAATGTATGTATGTTATTTTTTGTCATGGTAGGATTAGACTTTTGTTTCAGAGTTCCTTTTTATAACCATGGAATTACTGAAAGTTGATAACAGCCATCATACAGTATCAGATTATAGAAATTGCCAGGCTTAATGCTTTTCTGCGGGGTGATAATTATTTAGCCTAGTACCACTAATGCATTTTTGTTAACAGAAAAATATAATTATACTGCAATAATTAAAGGTGTCACTAGTGAAATTTTTATGCATTTTGTGGATACCTAGACTATGAAATTAGCTGAAATACTAGTGCTGTGAATGGAATGACCTAGGGGTGTAATTTAAATGTCTCACATAAAAGGGCAAGTTCTAGGAATCTGAAGAATGGAAACATTTTTATGGACTTGGGTCTGGAAACACCTTTTTGAGTTACAGTCCTTTTGTTGCTACCCTTACATGCTCTGAGGGATGCTAGGCAACATAGGAAGAGAGGTAGAGGTTGTCATGGTGCCAAAGCAACATAAGTAAGAAACATGTGTTCAGTGTAGGGTGTGCACAACTTTTATGAGCATGCAGATGACAACATTAAGAAGGCTAGGAACTCGTGGAATACATTTGGAAAACTTGCTGTGGTGTTTCTGCTCAAAGCATGGAGGGGAAGCAGTGAAATCTGTGATGTCACAATGGAGGAAGTTTCAAAAAGGAAAGGGTTACTCTTGTGATTCTATAAAAGTCTGTGACAGTGGTTGATTATATTTACTAGTATTATATTTGGTATTGCTCGTACACCTCAGACAGTGGTAAGTGTGGAACTTGAACATCTTTTCGTAGTAATTGAAGTTGCAAATGTGGTACTTTTTTTTTTTTAAGTGACAGAGTATATTATAGTGTCAATTCTTTAACATGGTAGAAGAATATGAAACTTTTAGTCATTGTTCCTTTTCAATAGAGGAAAATTGAATCATACCGAGAAGAGCAGAAAAATGGAAAGGACTTGAACAGTGACCAGCTTGCAGCTGTGGCAAAGTATGAGGAGGTCCAACAGACACTTGAATTTGCTCGTGATCTTTGTAAGCAGTTTAATGGGATTGCTGTAGATGCTGCCAAACAGCATAAGAAGCAGGCAAGGAAAGAAGCTTTGGAGAATTTTTTTGCTAAAGTCAAGGAAATTCTTCTGGTGCAGGTGAGCTTATATGTATATTTCATTCATTTCATTGTGGTAGGCTTAATAGTTCATGAGGCCAGGAGTACCATTAAATTGACATGCTCTTTTAAAATTGCATGTACAGAGTGCCAAAAATGTATTCATGCTTCATTCACCTGCTTCTTAAAAAATAAAGCTCTGAGGTGTTAACCCATTGTTTTATTGTTACATTAAATTCACATATGTTCAAAATGTCCACCCCCAAGCCCATTGCATTGTTGATGGCATGCAGTAGAGTGGTGTACTTCTTATCTTACAGTGTTGCTAGTGGAATAGCAGCAGAGGCAGTTTCAGTTTTGTGCCCCAGGTCCTGCACTGCCCAATATACACTGTATATAAAATCCAACACCCTTCTTCTCTTTCCCCCCCCCCATAAATGCCCCAATAATGCTATTATGTTGTCTTCTGCAGGTGTTTTGGGAAGGTAGCTCTGAGTAGGTACCATTGGTTCATGGACACAGTTGTTCCTCAGTCCATAGGCTGTAATTTTTTAATATCTGGCATTTGGGGGGGGGGGGACAAAACCTTCACAATGGTGAGGCCATTTTCAGAAGTCAGTATGCACTGTACTGGATGAGAAGAGACATTTTTTAGGAGCAGCACTGCTTTCTGTGATAATCATTCAGAAAACCTGAAATTGTTTGTGGAACCAGTTTAAAAAAACTCCTTCTCCTTCCATGCTCCTTTCTGGTTGTAATAGACAGGGATGCAGCTTATTTTGGCACCCTTGAGTGATCGTGTTTTCTTCTTTTTTTGCATTTCCAGTCACTGCAAGTTTTATTTTGTGGTTTCCAGGTGCACTTCCACAACACATGACCATAGCATATTCTTTAGATGATTTATGCCCAGGAGCACATGTCTGTCTTTCAAGTGCAAGGGTTGATAAACCTTTCCAGTACCAACCACTTGTCATGACCATTGGAGCAAACCTTTCCACCCTACCACCACTTGTGACTGCAAAGCAACAAGAAATGGTACTGTTCAACCACATCGTCTGTACCCCCTTCCAAAACCAACCCTTCTCCCAACTTCCAAAAAGGTTGTAAGCCTTGTTCACAGATGTAACATGCAAACAGTTATGCATTGATAATCTGCTCACAGGTAATTGGTGTTTACTGTAGTTGATTTTCAAATTGCAAGTGTTACAAGTGTTGTCATACTGTATTGTAGGATGTTCTGCATAATATGGGTCAGGAGAGTGTTCGTGAGGATTTTCTTGCTGGCCGAAATGGAGCAGTGCAGCTGGATGATGAAGATCTGAAACACTTGGATGACCTGTATATTGAAGTATTGCCAAAACATGGAAGGGAGGATGGGGCTCTTCCTTTCCAGGTCTGTGGAAATGCTTTGTATGCTTATATATATCTTCCAGCATGAGTTTATTGGGGTATGATAACATCACGCCATTTGTTGTATTTTTAAGGTGTTCTTTAGTGTAAGTGAAGAACACCTTATAGGTTCATCCATGTCTCTCAACTTTCAGCTATCCTGTATCAAGGCAGCCCCCCTAAGAGCATGGAAATCCCCAGGGCATTCCCTGGTGGTGAAGTGAACCCAGGGACTTGTGCTTCCTGGGTTCTTCCCCACCTGGGATTTGTCCCAGTGGGACTCTGCCCACATAGGCTTGCCTGCTTTATGACCTTGCTCCATGTAGCTTGCCCTCACTGTGCTTGGACATCCTTAGGCTTGTACCATCCCAGGCTAGATCATCTGAGCATCAGCAACATTGTGACCGTCCCCCAGGAGCTTGGCCACAGTGGCAGATAGACCACTTGAGGGGCTGGCACCCCATTAGTGTCCTTCCCAAACTTGCTTCTAACTGGGATTGCCACCCAAGCCTTAACTATCCAGCATTTTTGTTCCTAGCTTCCGGTGCTTGCCACTACAGGGACTTTTCCCTCCCTAACTTTCCTCTCGTGTGCTTTGAAAACCCATAGCTTTGCTATCATTATGCTTAGACAACCCAAGGTTTCTGCCATCACAGGTTGGACCGCTCCCAGGACTGTTCCTCTCAAGGCCTTGACTAACCATGGTACTAGGCCACCTCTAAGGCCTTTATCCTCTTGGGAAAATCCCAGGGTTTTCCCCAAGGCTTGCTTCAGACAGGGATTGAGTCTCCCTGCAAGGGACATTTTTTAAGACAGCCACTTGGAAGGAGGAGGAAGTGGCAGGATAACATTACGATGAATTTTAGGAGAATTGAGTGTGGAACTGAGGAAGTGTCCTGTGTCAGGCTGCAATTTAGTGATATTAGTGATATACTAACTGTTTGGTATAACTTTTTATTTGCTTCTCTTGCTTGCCTTGGTATTGTAGGTGCATTGAATATATAGTTTCCTAAAAAAACGGTTGGAAAATAATGTCTTGCATTTTGTGTTGTAGGAACAAGTTCAGCACTCAGCAGAGCATCTGCTGAGCATTGTAGAGGGGAAGAGCAAAGAGATTTTAGGAACAACATATGTGAAGCTGAAGGAATTAGTTACAGCAATCCATGCCTGTGGCTACTTTGATCAGTCGGTGGAGGAAACAAGTGAAGAACAAACTGAAGAAGTATGGGTTTCCCCATTCTTACAGAGTTCCCATCACTTTTTATTATATAAAAATGGTTGCATGCACAGTAAACCTTGTATTGAATCAGTACCTGGATTAAAAATGAGTCTTACTTATAAAATTATTCTGATTTGAAGTTGGTAGTTTAATTGCAGGTTCATTCATAACAGGATAAACATTACACACATGAAACTTTGTTTCTCGTTGGTTGGTTAGTTGGTTGTTACTAAACATAATTCTCTGATGTTTTTATGCAGGTATAATGAAGGTAAGTTTTGTTTTTCAGTCAGGAAATTATTTCATTGGAAAGCATTTTAGAAAATGCTAAAACATTTTTTAATCATATAGGAAGGATATGATGCAGCATTTTTAAATGATTTAGGTAGGGAAATGTTTTGAGTCTTCTTAAATGATTTTGGTATGTTTGGAACATATGAGAGGTGCTCGGGGACATAGGTGGAGTAAGAAATGGAACATTTGAGATAGCAAGGAATCTTGTGATCTATACAGTGCACATAGTATTGTTAGGGTAATAAAATTGGGAGGATTTAAGATTAATTAGGGGTCAGGGAATGCAGTGAATTTTGTGGGTGTTACATTGACTGTTGGATGGCAGTCATGGATGAATGATGGAGATGTGGGGGGATATGATTTAAGTGTGATTAACTAAATAGGTTTTAAGGATAGCTCAAGGTCTTGTCCTAACGGTTTTTAATATTAGTGATATGGAACCTTTTGATTTTATTTCCATTTTTGTTGACTGTTGTAGCAAGAACATGTATTTTTACTGTAATCTCCATATAACATTAAACATTAGATTCTAAATTTATAGTTCAGATTCTATGGTCCCAATTCGGGGGGGAGGGGGGGTGCAAACAAAATTTTAATTGGAAAAGGTTAAGGAAAGGAGTCTTGGGTTTGTATAAATTTGTTTATTTCTGTGCACAGAAATTTCTTTCCATTGTCAGTACAGATCGCATCAGTTCGTTCATGTTCAAAGACATGGTGATTTCACTGTCACATAGACAGTACATACTGTTATCTGTAGTCCATGTTGATAAAATGTGGCTGAAACATCATCTTTATGAATAGCAGGTATACATCCAGTAAAATGATCTTTTCCATGTTAAATTGAGTGCAAAATCTTTGTTATAATTAATATTTTTCAGTATTCTTGAAATTCTTTTCTATTTTCTGTATTCTTCTTTGTTTTCTGTTCAGACTTATTGGTGATGTGGCTGTTGAAGCATCGATTTCATCTTTCCTTTATGACAGCATTTAAGAAGAGTTCATACTTTTCCAGTTTTAAAAATTCTGAAACCCGACATTTATCACACACTTCACATGATGCACCTGTTAATGATATTTCGGTTTCATTAGACACGTTTTCTTCAGTAGATCCAGTAGCTTGTCCCCATCATTGAGTAGCTCACTGGCTCTGAGCTTAATTTGTATTACTTGCACATTGATAAGCCCATTGTAAGTTTCATTCATATTTGCTACATGCCACAGTTGTAACAAAAACTCAGTTTTGTTATTGTTAGCATAATCTCATGCATCATAATTACTGTCTGCCTTCATTTTTATTATGATGTTGGCAGTCATCTACCAGCAGAATTAAGTGTCCTAACTGTAACTGTCATTGGCAGAGCCACTGGCCGATGCATTGTATTACAATAATCTCATGCTGCATCAGTATGTTTTTGTTGTATAGATATAAGTGCATGTGTAGTTCATATATTTTATCCACACCCTCTGCCCTCCTAATGCTGCTCATTATATACAAGGTGTGACAATTTCCCTGAATGCTTGCATATGTGAGTTCACTTGTTAAATATTGGCAAGTTTATGAGGCTGTTCATCAGAGTAAACCTGAACTTTGGCCTGATGCTTGGATCTTGCATCATGACAATGCCCTTGTTCATAACATGCTTGCTGTCCATGTCCCCCCCCCCCCAAAAAAAAACCCACCAATAATGAAATTGGACCATCCGCCAGATTTGGCCCTATGTGACTTGTGGCTGTACCCAAAACTGAGGACCACTTTGAAGGGCCGCGGATTTTCAGACATTGCTGACATTCAGGGACTGTGACAACCATCCTGAAGAGCATTCCAGAAGAGGAGTTCAGAAATGTTTGAGCATTGACTTAGTGTGTTTGTGTGCAACTTGGAAGGTGGCAACAACAATGTATATGTAATTAAATACAGCTTTTATGGGGGCATTCTGAGAACTTACTTGTTACACCTTGTATGTGTACATTCATACATGTTCAAAGTGATCATAATGTGAAATCTGTGGTATATGGAAATACTCTATGACATACATCTTATATGACCCAAGCTTGCCATTGAGGGGTTAACGTTGAAATAACATGAGTGGTTTTAGGTGTATGTTATTTCTGTTTCATAAACTCTCATTGTGTATGGACCAAACTGAACTCTCCCTGAGAATTACAGTTTTCAGTAGAGCAAGAATACTAGATACAAGGTTTTGCAGTTTGAGGTATACCTAGTGATTGTATGTGTGAGTATCTTTAGCCTTTTGATCCACCTTTGGGATTGCATAATAGTCTTAGTGTATGTAATTGTTGTGGTTATCTTTGTTTTGTATTTATAGTTGGTGAATACGGAAGTGGAACTACAGAATTCACAGGAAGCTGTAGTAGATGAAGAAAACTATGTTGGAGAGACACAGATGGTTGCTCCTTCTGATACAACATTCCCTCAAGGTAATTTGTAGAGTGGTGACCATAAGATGTAGTGTTATTTTGGAAAAGAAGTATTGATAATTGTTTACATTCTGTGCATTATTCAGGTAAGTGGTTTTTATAGTCCAAAAGACTGACAGGACTTTTGTGTTTAAAGGTTTCTCCAGTTTAATACTTGGCATCAAAGTTTCATCACTATGGAAGTGGTTAATACTTGTGAGCAAGAGCACAAATGAGGTGTTGTTGTTATAAAGTAGAAGTTAACGCTTTTGCTGTCAATTGTCTCGGGCGCTGACTGGCATATGAAGGATAAAATTATGTAGAATTTAAAATTTCTTATTTTTTAAAGTTACTTGTATCAACGCAATTTTCAAACTATCAGTGGTCCAAAAACTCACTGAAATAGAAATGTGTAATATCCTAGCTTTACCATAGCTTTCATGTGATAGTAAAAATTAAAAGAAATAAACAAAGGAACCTGTATTGGACAAATTTTTCATCAGATCCTACTTAATGAATTATCACCCTAATATTAAGTAAGAGGTAAAATAATTGTCTTCATTATGTGATATCATGGTACTGTTTCCAGTTGCTGAACTATATATATATTTTTTTAATTTTATTTGTTAATGATCTGCAGCTGCTGTAATTAAACCTATTTCTGTTCGCTTCAAACTCAATATTTCTTATTGTTTCTGTACAAAACTGTTCTGTTTTGTGTTTATAAAAGCTGTTGCACAGCTTCAGTCAGTTACAACAGGAAGCCAGTCCACTGCAGCAATGCCAGTTTCAAGTCCTATGGTGCCACAACCAACTGCATCAGTAGCACCAGTCCCAACACCTGTTGCATCTGTTGAGAGCTCGTACTTCAGTACAGCAGCACCAACATTTGTCCCTGCTCAAGCATCAGCCCTGCAACAGTCCCGGCCTCTGAATGAGGTCATCAGTTCTGTTAATAGTAGTTTTAATTTCCTGCAGGTATGACATTTTCTGTATAAATCAGGTATGATATTAAACATTATTATTACAGTAACATCAGATGCCTAAATTGGTGATTGTCTGATTCAAATTCATTTTGCTGCAGCCATGAATCATGATGCGTAAAGTATTTGGTTGTGGTTGAATGAGGACACATTTTAAGCACAGTAGAATATTTTATCAAGTATGACATCAGTATTCACCACAGATCAGGTATATTTTTGTTAAGTTATGGTATCCTGCAGTGCGAAACACGGTCTTTCACTCTGAGGGAGGAACATAGATTGCAGGGGTTTAAGAATAGGGTGTTCAGGAGGATATTTGGACCTAGGAGAGAAGACTATGGGGTCTGGAGAAAACTACATAATGACAAACTTAAAAATTTGTACTCCTCCCCCAGTATTGTCAGGGTGATTAAGTCAAGAAGAATGAGATGGGCGGGGGGCATGGAGACTGCTGGGGAGACCTAGACGTAGATGGGAGGATAATGTCAGGCGTGATCTATGGGAGATAGGAGTTGAAGGAGACTGGATTTTGCTGGCCCCAGACAGGGTTCGGTGGAGGGCTTTGGTTAATTCGGTGATGAACCTTTGGGTTCGGTAAGCCATCAAGTTAGTTAGTATGGTATACAGCCATCATCAGTGCACACACAGGTGGAGGTAAACATTATATAGTGATGATACTCTCTGATGCTATTATTTTCTCCTCAATTTTACTAGCTTTACTCATAAGTCCATTGTGTTATTTTCTCACAAAGTGTTTCCATGTGAATGCTATAAACATGCAATAAAATTCTTCATGGTGTTGTTGTTTGGTTTCGAAACACGTAAAAGGCTGAGCAGTTCATGAATCAACTTTTTATTTTTGTTTGTGGTGCCTCTCAAAGTTGTTATTGATTTTTATTACAGTAAATGATGATTCGTTGTATGAAGCAGTTTCATGTGACAAGAACATTTTTATGTGATGTGTGTTTAGCAAAGAGTGACAAAGGATATATGTGATGTAATATTACTCCTTATTTGCTTTTTCAACAGTAACTTTTATCTGTGATAAATTAACTCAAAGACAAGATGTAAAATCACAAGTAATGTGTTGAATTGTGTTTTCCTTAGTAGCTGAAATTCCTGCCTACCTTTATTATTATCCAGACAGGAAAGTGAATAGTACATTAGAGTTCCATGTTGCTTAGGAGTCAGAGTTGGATTCTCCAGATTTGTCTGCTATGCTGACGGGAACAAGCCAGCCAAGTCAACAGGCTCAACAAAGAGGAATACCAACCCCACCTCCAAGTGGACCTGTTCCAGTTGCACCTATCCCCACACAGACATTCACAAATCAGAATTTTGCATCTGTACCTCCTGCAAATGTGGCACAACAGGTTTGTTTTGTTACAGCATAATCTTTCACAGTTATGGAGACCATGAATATTGGTGTGCAGAAATTTTTGTGCTTTGTTTTGTTGAAATCAAAAACATAAAACTAATTTCTTTTGTATTGTGAACTTTTTGGTTAAGATGCCATGATTCAGTGTTCAGAAATGAAAGAGGTGTCCAGTTTTTAATTCCAAGGATTTAAAGTGGTGAAATTTCTGAGATTCAGAGAGAGATAGCTTACTACACATATGAACGTCAAAACAACAGATGCTGTTTTATAAATGAATAACGTAATTGTAAAGCTTGTGAAATCACTTTAAAAGCCAAAATTGCAGGGATGGTTTTCAAGATAATCAGATCATGTCCTCTGCAAAAAGAAGACAAATTTTTGCTGTGTTATTCTTGTGGCATATTCTTATCAAGATAATCTAACATACCATTGCATATTTACATCATACAATGTGCATTGATACCTAGTCATTAAAGGTGATAAAACATAATTAGGTCATTGTTTGTAACAGAAGAGGTTATTCAAGTTTCATATTTCTAGTTCAGTTTTAAAATAGTTTAAAAAAAATACCTACTAAGTATGACATGTAGATGTTGCACTTATGTTTTATGGTGCAGTGGTGGAAGTTGAGGAAAAGATAAAAAGATGGTTGTGGTGGTTTTGTAATAACCTTTTGCAATGAGCATACTCTCACATGTTACCTGATATTCTGATGCAAATACACTTTAATGTAGTCGCACAATATCTGTGGCTGACAATCAGGAAATGAGACAGAGCATGCACCAACATCTGTTAGTCATGAGAATAATATTGGTTTGTGTGACAAACCACTGGAGTCTGCAAACATTTGCCTGTGTAGATTATTTCTTGCTACTACTAAAGGTAAATTTGTGTTAAAATGTTTTCATCCCTGTACTCCATCTACTGTTTCCCACTCGAGGACAACAACGTGCTCCACTGCCAAAACAACAATGTTAATGAAATTGGCATTTTCACCATTTCCCTGTCGCCACAATACAGGCAGATTATTTCACCATAAAATATTCTAATTCTGTGCTGCTCCATAATTTTAGGATTTGCAGACGTGGAAATAAAATGTGTGGCTTATAACTAGCAGATTATGCGTAATGAACCAGCAGCCACATAGGTAGGTATTATATGAATAAGATGGTTTTACAGTTGTAATACTTGATGTATTTCAATATTCATCGTATTTCTGATATAGGTAGTTTATCAATCAGGAAGTGAACTTACTCAGTCACACATCCCAGGATTTGCTGCAACTACTCCAAATCCTCCACCACCAATTCCAATGCCACCATCACATCATCAGCATCGTTCAATTAGCCCAGCAGTTCCTGTAGCAACATTGCAGCAGACCTACAACCAGTCTGCAACACAAGTTTCTGCTTATGTGTCTCAGGCCCAGCAGCCTCAAGCCAATGTCCCAAATCCATACAGCACACAGAAACAGCCTCAGGTACGTGTCATCAAACATTATTATTTGATATTAATTAATGAAAGAAAAGGTTTTCCTGCCAAAGCACCATGGCTGCACGCAAAATATGCATTGATGGGATTCATGTTTCAGTCGCTGTTTTTACACCTATGGTATGCATGAATATAATGCTGTGCAAAATCTAAGTGCTGTTTTTGACTTGGTAATGGCTTTGTTTGAAACTTGTCTCTATCATTTCAGCAGGTAAATATTTTCTGCATTAAAGAATATTAAATTTTAAATGAATAAGTTTTCTTTGAATTAATCTTCATTTAAGTAAAATGCTGCCATTCTGGTATTTACAGTTTAATTTAATTTCAGCATAATAGTTGAGCTTAGTTTGATTATCCTCTGTAGCCAAATTACTGTTACGTTTTAGGAGCAAGTTGATCATCAGCAGGTGGCTGAACAGATGACAAGTGTGACTATAGACGATTCCGCTGGTGATTGGGGACAAACTGAAAACAGCCAGAATGACTGGAGTCAGCAACCAGAGACCCAGACAGATTGGAATCAGCAGACTGAAACACAGGCAGATTGAATCAGCAGACTGAAACACAGGACACAGGCAGATTGGAATCAGCAGACTGAAACACAGGCAGATTGGAATCAGCAGACTGAAACACAGGCAGAATGGAATTCCTCACCTGCCAACCAGAATGATTGTAAGTCCAGTAATATTTTCTGTCAGGTAGAGGACATCCAATCATACTCTTTCACACAGGAATAGCATGCCTCATGCTAATTCTATGGTACTGGAATGCTGCAGTGCAAGAGTATTGTTGCCCACAAATAAGATAGACTAAAATTTTAGACCCCTACTCTCACAATTTGAAAAGCCAAAAGGAAAGTATTCCACATTCATGGACAAGAAATGTTCAGTTTACCACAAGCTTTGCGTAGTGCAGTCTACATTTTTTGGTTCTGAGAACCATGTTCTTTCTTAGTTGTATAACGCTTTGTGCAAGAATAAACAAAATTTGAGCTATTGCTTGTGTTATGATGCATGTTAACCAACAACAGTCTAGTTCCTAATGTGTCAAACCTCATTTTAGATATGTTCACAACTAAACATTGTACCTGTTGTTTTTGCCATGTCTCAGCATGTAACAACTCAGGAACACCAAGTGGATTTTCTGAAAATTTCTTATTGGGAACTTGTGCTAAAATGTTTTGGCACATTCAAATAAAGGGTATACTCAAAAGAATGGTGCGATTTCAAAAGTTAATAAACAAATTATTTCTTGCCTGACAGTGTATGTTGTGCCCGTGTAAGGTGAGAAATACATTTGTTATTAACTTTTGAAACAGCACCATTCTTTTGTGTATACCCTGTATTGGTTGAAATCAGTCAACAAAAATTGGCACTTTACATGAAGACGTGTTTGTATTTTGCATGATGAATTAATGGTGGGAATTCACAGTTATTTGTGCAGGTCAAATTCTGGTGAACATGATCTGAAGCTTTCACGGCGACTAAGTATAATAAATTCGTGGCCTACCAGCTGTGTAATGTTGGTAGCCACAGAAAATTTTTTTGTATCTGGTGAACACATTAGAGTTGTTATATGATGCATATGTTTCCTAAGTTGCTTAAGTTCTTGTTCATTCATATATTCTTTGGATTTACTTTTCAGCAATGAAGGGTGTTGTCTGCTTAAGATGTTTAACATTTTGATAGAACAGCTGTGTTTTCACTGTTTATGTATAATTATATATACTTATGTAGATACTAACAACCTAATTTTCTTGTGTCTGTGTAGCCTTCATAACTCAAAGCAATACAAGAGTCTATGGAAGTGGGCGAGGGCGAATGAATAGGGGGAGTGGCCGAGGTTCATCTAATGGTTATTCTGGCAATAGAGGACGTGGCAACTACCAGAATGGTCGTGGAGGAGGTGGTAAATGTATATTCATTTGATATTTTCCAAACTGCATATATGAGATGTGTGCTGTGTAACAAGCAAAGGATATATTAATATTATTTTATTTAAAATTTATCAAAATTCCCAAACAAATTCCCATAATAAAGTCAAACTTGCAACTGCTGTATCATGTAATACAATTAAAGCCACATATACCATGTTTAAAGCACTGTATATACTGGTAATTTATGAATGTTCGAAATGTTATTGTTATTGTTATAGTTACATTTTAGATAATAACCTGTGACAAGGTGATAACTGAATTAAACTGTGAAGCCGTTAGAAAAAGTATAAACGGAGAAGAGAGTTCCTTTGCTGTCACTTTCATAATGTGCTGGTTTTTGGCATCCATTGTGTTAAATATACTTTTAACATCTTTTGCTCTGTTCTATCATGAAGATATGTTATAAAACAACTTGTTAAGTCTGCTTCACATAGAGAATTTATATAAAGCAATCCTACTAATATTAATCAGTAAACTCAAGTTGTATGTAATATATTTCATATATAATGCATGGCCATATATAAATGTTTATTTTTTAAGCTTATGGTTACCGCAACAATGAAGGCGGAAGCAACAATTACTACCAGAATGGTTACCAGCAACGTGATAACTTTGGAAGTAGCGGTTATGGTGGGGGGTATAAACGTGGTACTCGTGGATCCTCCAGAGGAAGCATGGACCGTGGAGGTGAGTATTCTTAAAAATTTTGACTCTTCAGGATTCATGTCATACTGTTCATGAGTTTAATTTTAACTTGGGAATAAAAAAATTTGTTACAAAGTTTTTTGACTTCATTTTTTCTGTTCTTTTATATCAAAGTATTGGCAAACACAGTTTAACATACTTTCATATATAAATTTGGTCACTTCTTTTTGGGAATTTAAAAGAGTATGCATGAACATTAGCTACATTCAGGATTGTTTGTGCTCTGTATGTGCACTTGTGAGGTTTGTCACATCGACAGTTTCTCAAAGATCTGACATGAGCAAAGTCCATGATCCAAAGGAAATTTATAAGTGATTTGCAGGTGTGTTATCATAATGGCAGCAACGTCCACTGTGTTTGTGTTTTGGGGCTTGTTCACAACCCTGTGGAGTGAACTTCTGTAACAGAGTAATGCAATTGTTCTCTTTTGCTATCATTTCCAGTTTTATTGTTCATTATGAGTAAGGTGTGAAATTTTAAATGCTTTGGTTCTCAAGAACTGTGTTGAAATTTTGAGTGCCTGAGGTTTTGATGACCAAATTCTCATATTTACCTCAACTGCCATGTAGAATTCTTTTCTCTACTTTCAATATAAATGCTGTAGGTTAAAAGATAATTGTTTTCCCCATTTCCAGGCCCCCGGGGAGGTTCTGGTGGCCGTGGTGGCAGCAATCCTCGAGGAAGTCGTGGCAGTAGTTTTGTTCGTGGTGGAGGCAACAAGCAATAGTCAGTAGCTAAAGTGAAGCAATGTTTCATCAAGCTAAAGCTTGTGTCATTTGAACCAAGTTCTGTGGTCATGAATGTGTGGTTGACCAAGCTTGTGATGGCGAAAGATGATCACATGAGTGTGAATTTTTTCTCCACCTTAATTTGCTCCAATTTGCAAAACAATTTTAAAATTTAGCCACTTTTCAGTAATGCGAATGTATTGAGTGCAGCATTAGAGTATTTTTATTAATCATGCAGAGCAAACAGTCCTGTGAATATCAAGCTACATATTGTGGACTGGTTGGAATGTGGCAAGAAATTATTTTGAAGGTGGTTCTGGTCGTGAGAAGTGAGAAATCAAGTTCATACCAATTTCTGAGTATTAAGTAATTTGTTTAGTGTCAGAAGGCAGTTTTCACAGGGCAACAACTGAGTAAAAGCATTAAATAAAAAAATTTACTATAAAATACCAAAAAAAGAGAACATATGTATTGAAAAAGCAACTGAATACATACAAAGTGACTGTTTCCTATGTCGTAAGTGCAGTTTTATTTTTCTTCATTAAATGTAAAAAAAACTGTTTGTTTTTCTCTGCGTTTGAATATCATTTCAGTTTCTTTGTGATTATTATCGCTATTATTATTCCAACTACAGTTATGATTATTATTTTCACTGTTATTATTAGTATTATATTACTCTTATCATTATCATCGCCACATTATATTATTAACTGATTATTACTATCATTACTTTATTTTACCCAGTTATCACAAGAACTTCATAATAATTTCTGAATTTGTTCCTTACAATTTGCTGCTGTAATCCCCACAACAGTATCACATTTAGTTCCATTATAGTGGATCTCAGCCCACAAGCTCTTGAATCTTCCAATAAAAATACATACAAGACAGCTATGTAACTGAATGTAATATGAAGGCTGTGAAGTACTATTGTGGGAGAACTCATCTTTAGGTAACATGTTCATACAATTATATTTATGCTTAAGAAGCTTAGGCCCTGTCCCTCATCATAGACATTTTTTTAACTGTAGTGTATAAATTGTGTGTACCTAGATTCAGTTGCATGGTGAAACTTGTGCTTTAATGGATAATATTAAAATGTATTATAGGTGAGTTTTGAAGACCTGAACTATCTTGAAATATGGTCTTGTAGTCTTTTTTAATGATGAACCTCATAGAATATTGTTACAATTCCACTGAACAGTGGCTAGCACCCTTCTTTAAATTCAAGATGGCTTTTGTTCAGATCTCATTCCAAAGACTGGCTTTCCTACCTGAGGATTTGTTTCTGTTTTCCTCAGACCCTCCAAGCATGTGCTGGCATATTATGTTAAACTAGGTCATGACCTCTTCCTTTGATATCTTTACCATATAATTATTCATTAGTCCTGTCACTTGATGCTATGTAGTATGAGTCGTGGACAGGGTCATTAAATAAATCGTAAACTATATGAACCTGAATAAATTATCATCTGCTAAATTGACCCTGGTTTGTTACAGAAACTTCAGGAGACTGCCTGAACACTTGGGATATATAAATTATTGTTAAACCTCACGCATAGTATGAAAACTGTAAGAAAGGCAGCTGATAGTATGTATATATATATACTTCAGAGATGTTATTTATTTATAGTTTATTTAATGACACTTTTTCAGTATCTCAGATTATAGTGTCATGACAGGATGGTAGTGAATAATAAATTGGAAAGGATGTGGAAAGAAGCCATCATGGCCTCATTTAAGGTACTATCCTTATATTTGCCTGGAGGTACTGAGGAAAACTAAAACATCCCAGTCAGGATGGCTGGACTGCGGGCTGAGATTTTAACTTGGGACCTCCTAAATAAAAAGTAGGAGTGTTCATATCCGGCCAATATTACTTGATATACGTGTGGAAACTTCAGATACTTAAGGGGCAAATAAATACATTAACATTGTTACAGACAAGATGAAGCCTGTTCATGCACATCCCTTATACACTGCATAACTCTTCAATTGCCATGATACTAGTGGGTCACAGGTGAGTAGTGAATGGAAGGTTTTGAAATGAGAAAAAGATAAAGTTTGGTGTTAGGAGGCCAGCAACAGGAAAAATACGCAATGAAAATGCTGCAAATGCTTAAGGCTATGTGAAGGAAATTGTCCCAATCTGAGGTCCTTCAATGGCAATTGTGAATTATTTGCAGCAGACAGAACAATGATATGCTCATCTATGGGAGTCATTTCATTTGAAAAAGCCCAGAATGTAGGCAGCTGAAAATAATATTGTGCATGGCAGTGCCATGAAACATCAGTCACCAGATTGCTGCAGGAACTCACCTCTTTCTGAAGATGCACTTATGTAAGGGCTTTGACTTAAGCATGCAGCAGAGATTCAAGTAGCATCAGATCTAGGAAGAGTATTACACTTAGAGAGAAACAGGCAAACTTGCCAACAAATAAATTAGCCTGTATCTTACAAGTGACCCATATACTATTATGCTGGGCTTCAGGCATTTCACTACTGCTGTGCTTCGATCAGCCAGGCACATTGCAAAATACATGAAAATTTGTTCCACATAAATGTTTGATGAGTTCCCCCCTCCTTCAAAAGCTACCAGCACTCCTCAATATGTATCTTTTTTTAACTCTTCAAAAACACCAATACATGACCCCACATAACTCTCCTTGTACTTTACTTGGACCATCTTCTGTGCAAAAACAGTGCATCTATTCATCTGGAAAAGTAAATTGGCCAGTGTTTACTGAAATTTACCTTGAGTAAGTTTTCTCTCTGTGACAGCTGGGACAAAGGAAACAGTAAACTCCCAGAAATTTAAATCAAGTTTTGCATGTTCTGGGTTGGGATTACATGTTGCAAAATTTCATAGTTTGGATCTATTTGGTCAGCAGCACTGCCATTTGAGAAGTGTAGGAATACATGAAAATGCTTCATGGATTACACTCCTTGTAGAAGTGGAGTGCCTCATTCTGTCTTGCCAGGTGTGTCACCAGTGAACTGGTGGATTGTCTGTGGGTTCTCATCACTTGTACTCTCCAACCAATGCAAAGGCGGTTTGGCATCATCTTATTGCCATAATCACATTTCTGTGGAGATATAGGTCAGGCCTCAGACCACCTTGTTCAGACACCCCTTGGGGTGGTTAGCAAATGTCTTCATCAGGTCTTCTTCCTTCAGATCTGTTTTATTAGTCTGAACTCTTAAGCTGTTGTGTAACCAAACTGTTCTTTGCTTCAACACATAAGTTACTTTTAGACTGACTGCATAGCTGTGTATGACTAACTT